ACTGTATATATTCTTTTGTGCTTTGCTTTTTTGCTTAATGTTATGTTTGAGACTTATGCATGTGTGCAGCTGTATGGTATTCCATTGTGTGAAAATTCAGTAAGTTATTTGCCTATTTTCCTGTGGAGAGACATTTGGATAGTTTTTAGTTTTTCACTATTATAAACAATTCATCTATGATTGTGTGCATATCTCTTGACACACTTGTGCAAGTGTTTCTCTAGGGTATGTACCTAGGAATGGAATTCCTGCATTATAGATGCATACATCTTTATATACCTTGGCAGCTGCTTTCCAAAGTGGTTTTAAATGTTTTCACTCCCACTAGCAATAATTTATATAGTTATTCCGCATCCTCTGAAATCCTTGATATTGTTGTGCATTTTAGTTTTTGCAAACCTGGTATGAAATATTGCACAGTGGCTTTAATTTGCATTTTCTTGGTCATTAATGAAGTTGAGTTTATTGTCATGTTTATTTACTGCCACTGTTCCCTCTTCTTGGAAGTTCCTGTAGTCTTTGTATATGTTTTTAATTATGCTGGGTTTTTAAAAATTGTAGGAGTTCTTTGGGTACTAATCTTTTGTTAGTAGCATATGTTGTAGTATCCCCTAGTAGTCTGTGACTTGTCTTTTCATTCTCCTTAAGGTATCTATTGATGAACAGAATTGCTTACTTATGATATAATTAAATTTATCAATCTTTAGCTTTATGGTTTTCCATTTCTGCCTTAAATAAGCAAACTTTCTTATCCCAAGATACTGAAGACATTCTCCTTTATTTTCTTCTAAAAGCTTTAAAGTTTTGCCTTACTTATTCAAGTGTTTAATTCACCTGGAATTGAATTTTGTGTGTGTCATGCAGGTAGAGATATACTTAGCCATATAAAAATTGATTTCAAATTTCACAACCACTGTTTATGTCAGAGGTCAAATGAGCATGATTCTTTACATGTCATAGTGCCATCGATCATTACACATTTTACTGGACCTCTATGTTTGTTCACATTGGCATTTTGACATGTTTCAGACATATTATTCTCAAAATATGTTACAAAATGAGAGTAATTCACAGCAGATAATACTAATGCTTCTCCTCACTTGAAAAAGAAGAGAAGATATTCTAGCCACGGTGATACCATTTTAAACTTGGCTGAAAAAATGTCTTTACTAAATGAGCTAATATCTGGAAATGTTTTCAAAGATGTTGGTAATTCAACTCCCAGAAAGTTAAAAGAGAAGTCAGTCACTCATTCTAACATTTTAAAGAAACTTTCCCTGGCTAAGCCTTATTTTGACAAATCTAGCTATTCATCTACACTATTAATTATTAATTAGATGATGGTAGTGCAATTTTGATTCAAGTTGTAGTTTGTGTGAGTGTGTGTCTTTTAATGCATTGTGAAATTAAACTTATGGAACATAGGAATCTCAGCAATTATATTATTGAGAACATAAGCCATCTTTTAGTGAGGCTATCATCATCTGGCGAAGTTTCATTTTATTCCCCTATTTGAAAACAACCTTACACTTTAGCCTTAACTCTAAAGTTCTTGTTCTTTCATTAACCTTTCCTCTTTAATTCACATTATTCATTTATTTCACAAATATGTTTTGAGAACCTGTGTTTTGCAAAATAGTCTATGCTCAACTATATGAGAATAACAACCTCAGAATTCAGGGACTGAAAGAGCACCAACATCATTTACAGTAATCCTAACTTTCCACAAATTAAATTAAGAAATTGAGGTCCAGACAGATGCACTGACCCAACCAAAATCTCCATGTGATGAAGCATAAATAAAGATCTCCTGACCCTGGATTTAGAATTTCTCCTATTGAACCATGTTGCCTATGGAGAACTATCTGAAAATCTACCTGAGCTCTAAATATTTATATATTGTTTGTAGAGATTGCTAAAGGGTTAAATCACTCTTTGTGGACAAATTCTATTACATAGTTCTTACCTTCAAAATATATATATATAAACTGTGTACGATTAAAAGACAGGATTAAAAAATAATTTTTTTCTGAAAAAAATCAGATGAAGTAAAGAGTTTAACTGAAAGCTTTCTGAGGGCAGGAATCATGTGTTACCTTTAACATATTTGTTATATACCCTAACACAGCTGTTTATAGTGCATACTCAACAAATATTGATTAAATGAATAAAACTGTATATTGGAATGTAGGCTGCAGACAATAGGTACTCCAAATGATCAGGAAAAAAGCAAAATCAGTCTGAATGTGGAAAGTCCAAAAAGAAAGTCTTCACAGAAGATTTAGAATTTAGAATTTGGGCCGGCCCAGTGGCGCACTGGAGAGTGCACCGCTTGGGAGCGCGGTGGCGCTCCCGCCGAGGGTTCGTATCCCATGTGGAGACTGGTTCCCGCTCGCTGGCTGAGCGCGGTGCGGGCGCAGCACCGAGGGTTGCAATCCCGTTGCCGGCCAGTAAAAAAAGACAAAAAAGGAAAAAAAAAAGAATTTAGAATTTAAATTGACCCATAACTAATGGCTGTAATTTATTAGACAGAGGTGAATTTCCAAATTTTAAATTACTTGTTTGCCTCACATTCTCTCAAGACTTTAGATACAGGTGCTCTGAGTTGTTTGCTTTCAAATTTTACCTGTAAGTATGGTTTCTTGGAAGAAGCATGTTCATGAAAAAATAATGTGATAAATATGCTAAGATATATGTAAAAGGATATTGATTGTTGTGTTGTTTATAAGAGCATTTAAAACTGAAGCCAACCCAAATATCTGTCAGTGGACTAATAGTAAGTACATCCAAATTAAAATTAATAATAAATGTAGATCTAAATTTTTCAACAAGCAAAGACATCTCTAATATATTGCAAAGTAAAAATATCAAGCTTCAAAACTAGAATGGTGTAGAATGATCCCATACTTGTAAAAAAAAGTCTGAAAATATAAAGAATGCAAAATAAGGTAACAGACATTTTTATGTTCTTATGCTTTTCAGATTTATAAAAATCTTACAGTAGACATTTATTACTTATAAAAATGATTAAATTTTTTTTGGTTGTGAGGAGATTTCTAAATTTACTCTGTTGACTACCATGAATATGAGAGCTGTAGAGCAATAATCTCCACTCGTTGAACAACTTTTACTGAACACCACTTATGACTAGGCACTGTGAACAAGAGCCAAAATCCATGTCTTGCGCTCCTTATGACTTTAGAAGGAGATAGGAATCGTAATTGGAGCACCAGGAATCTATTTCCTTCAGACTTGTCACTTCAGAGTGGTCATTTTGTCTTATCCTGATTTTTTTAAATGAAATTGGTAGATCTCTATGTTCTGTTTGTACCATGTCTAGACAACGAGCAAAATAGCAAAATTACAGTTATTTCCATGTCTGACTTTTTAATTGAAATAATTCAGATTTCTCTTTTAGCTAAGAGGAGTAAAAGCAACTCTAAGACATTTAGGGCAGAGAAAAATGTTTAAGATGTAAGGTGACATTGAAAACTTATACATGTAATAATTATACTTCTATTTCATACTGTATTATTTTCTTCTCCTATGTAATATATTTTTAGATATTTAACTGCATGTTGCAATAATTATGTCTGTATTTATTGTTAAAATTTTAACATTGCAGCTCCCAGAGGGTAGTACTTGTTGTCTTGACAATGCATTAATGCCTAGCACTTTGGCATTCTTGTGAGGGTAATGTTGCCTGAACTTGGCTTGTTTAGGACAAGACAGAACATGGCCCAAGTCTAATGGCAGCCAACCATGGTTAATTGTATACAGTCAAGAGTCCAAGGATGGCCCTGTGATGGATTCATTTCCAATAATCTGTGCAACTAAATGTGGGTGCATACTTTTTAAAATACTCTTCATCTAAACATACATACTTGATATTTTGGGATTTTAGTTGGTTATTCTTTTATTCTGCTATTATCGGGAACTCTTATGTAGTTTGTACAATATTAGCAGCTAATAATAATAATATCCAAATATTTTGTAGGAATTTGCAAGCATTTTCATTTACGTCACCTTATTTAATTTTTAGACCCCCTTTGAGGGAGGTACTATCAACTCCCTTTTACAAATGAGATAACAGAAGTCTAATTAGGTTAGATGACTTGCCTCAAGTCATGTAGCTAATAAAAAAATTAATCTGGGTTCAGACCTGTGTGTCCTGACTTCAATTTCCATGCTTTATCAGCTATACCACACTCCTATGACTCCTCCCCTGCCCTTGAAGTTGGAAATATGGGGGTATTACTGGGTTGACTCAACCTAATTATAATTGCCCCGGAAGCTACCTCTAATTGTTAATATTAGGCACATTTTATTTAGGTTCCATGGAGAACCACTGACAAGTTTTATACAAGGATATAAACATATGTTCCTAAGATTTACTTCTGATTGAGCTCTGTTGTCCTCCATCTCACTCTTCCCAAGACCGGTTAACAGTAATCATGACAGTGATCAAGCCTTTTATCCTAGGACTCTAAGAAAACATTTACATAAATACAGAGGTCAGTTCATTGAAGTAGTAACTACAGTACTGAACCTGAAAAAATTTAGTTTACTAAGTGAAGGTATGTAGATTCAGCAAATGAACGTGTACCAACAACATTTCATAAGCAACTGCTATAAATGTGAAAAGTCATTATTAGTCATTTACACACTTGTAATCAACTGACCACTAAAGGAAATTCATGTGATCTGAACTTTCTTTTAAGAGATTAAAATGCATTTCTCGACCTTGATTATGAGTGTCGTCATAGGCCCTTGAATTTTTGTTTGCTCAGAATAGAGGAAGACTAATTCTAAAGCAGTTAACAAATTAAATTTCCTTCATCTGTCTTTCCTTATAGTAAACAACATAGGGAAATAAATCTCTAAGCCAATTCTTAAACAGAATTTAAGTATTATTTCACTTATGTATCTCTTTATTTTTTTTTTACTCTACAGTGGAATTTTTAAAAAATAAAACAATCTCGATTTTCCTTTTACTCTAGGCTTGATCCTTCAGTACCTGAGCCGCCGAAAAAGGAGCATATATCAGCTGCTAACATGTCTTTAGAAACTCTAAGAAACAGCAGTCCAGAAGACCTCTTTGATGAGATTTAACAGTCTCCAAACAGTACTTTGATGTTCACTAGACTGTGTTTTTTATTCATTTCTTTAGAATGAAAAAGCAAAATTTCAACTCAGCAGTAGCTATTACTGCACCTTACAATTTAATTACATACACACTGAGTTGAAACCATTGTGCAAAATAGATTACACATGTATATGAAGGTATGATTTGATGACAGTGGTACATTATTTTAAACTATTTATTCAGCATGCCTATAATTACATAAAATTTTAGACTTTTTGTTGCAAAAGAAACATTTATCATATTCATTTATACATATTATATGTCATAGCTGTCTAACATCCTGTCTAGGAAGATTTTTGGAAATAGGAAAAAGAAAACATCTGTTTAAAATGTCTGCAGTTCTTTTTGAATAGTTATGTTCTAAACAATGATGTTTGAGCATTTTAGTTTGTGGGATAATATGTAAAATATACATTTGGTTTCTATATAAACAATCTGAAAATCAGATATTAAAATTTTTGATACATTGAAGATGTTGTGTTGTTAATAAAATATCTTATTTAGCTTAACTTTTTTCTTTACTGTAGTAACAGTTCCTTCGTAAAGTGCTTATAATGTAAAGGTAGCCCTTTGTGTCGAAAAGCAAGTTTTCAGGGATTATTGATAAAAGATTTATCTTACACACACAAGAGCCCTCCTTGAAGACAAGGACCTTATCGTATTAACTTACCTCCCCCCAGTAACATGTCATTATTTTTTTATATTCAGTGTTTCGAATTCCTAACCTCTCATTCTGTTTCACATCTCTCTAATTGAACATTTATTTACTATGCATTATTCAAAGTTAACAACATCAAGTTAACAGTGACCTCAATGTTGCTAAATCCAATGGCTGGTTCCCTCTCAGTCCTCATCTTACTAAGCCTCTCAGCACATTTAATATAGTAATTTCTTCTCAGTAAATATTTTCTTTACTTTTGCAATAGCATATGCCCTTTGTATTCCTCTTTCTTCCAGTCACTCATTTTTTAGACTTCTTGGCTTGGCTGATTCCTTCTCACTTACCCAACAGTTAAATGTCTGAGTGCCCTGGGCTCAATCTTTAGCTCTCATCTCTTCATTGCTCACAATGTCACCCTAGGTTGTCTATGGTTTTAAATAAGCTAATATCTCCAAATTAGCATAGTTCTTTCTCCATAGTCAAATTATATATGTGTGTGTGTAAAATATATCACAAAAGGAATTTAAGCTTTCTGAAAAAATATTTCTTTGTATCAAATTTTGATACATCTTGGCATCATTTTTCAAATACAGATGAATACATTTATCTGCTTTTGCCTTTCTTTAGATGTTTTATCACATCCAGAGCAGAAATTTGATTATATCCTGACCATCATTTTTCTCAGTGTTCCCCATTCAGGTAATTTTAGTACCATTTAGTTGCAGTCAGCTAAAAACCCAGGAATCTTCCTTAGTGCCTCTGCTTCCCAATTCACACACATCCTTTTATTTTTACCTCCAAAATACAACTTGACTGGATCTAGCTCTCTTTCTGTCTACTGCAATTGCCTCCTAACTTAATCTCCTATTCCCCTACAATTCAGCCAAACTGAATGTTAAAATCTTAGATAAAATCATTTGTCTGCCTGGATTAAAACCCTCCAATAGCAACTCATTGCCCTTTGAATAAAATCAACACCTTTACCATGGCCTACAATCTCTGATATGATCTGGCCCCGACTAACCTCCGCAACCTGGTTTCTCATCCCTTTCTTTTTAGTCGCCTTGCCCCTTACTGTCCTTCAAGTAGGCCAGATCTCAGAACCATTGTACTGCTGATCCCTCTGCCTAGAATGCTCATCTTCACATGCTTGGTTTCTTCTCATCTTTCAGATTCTAGTGGATTGAATTATTTCCCCACCAAAACTCACTGAAGCTTGAATTGTTTCCCCCAAAGTTTTATGTATTAGAAACTTGGCCCTGACTGTGACTGTTAAGAGGGCGGGAAATCCTATTATGGTAATTGAAAGATGGAGCCTTGAAGAGGTGATTAGACTGTAGGACTGTGCAGTAGTGAATGGATTAATAATGGTGGTCAGGGGTGTGGTTCTGAGGGTTTTAAAAGAAGAAAGAGGAGAGTCTGTCTCTCTCTCTGTGCTCTCTCTTTGCTCTGCCATTTCACAACATGATACCCTGCATCACAGTTGCTACCATCAAGACCCTCACCAGATGTGTTCCCTGGACTTTGGACTTCTAGCCTCTGAAACTGTAAGCAACAAATTTCATTTTCTTTATAAAATACCCAGTTCCAAGTACTTTGTTATAAGCAACAGAAACAAACTAATACACAGATGTAGAACCAAATGTCATCTCCTCAGGGCTGCTTTCCCTGAAATACCCTTTTTAAAGTTGTGCACCATCCCATTCACTCTCTGTCCCATTAGAATGTTTTTTTTCCCTGTGCGTGTCACTGTCTAGAATTATTTTCTCACCTCTCTCTCTCTCTCTCTCTCTCTCTCTCTCTCTCTCTCTCACTCTTTCTCTTTCTCTCTCTCTCTATCTCTCTATCTCTATCTCTATCTCTCTCCCTCTCTCAAAAGAAAGTAAGCCCCATCATAGCAACGACATGGTTGTCTATCTAATTTATCTCTCCCCAGGGCTGGGTTCATAGAAATTTAGTGTTTGATCAATGAGTAAATGTTATGTCTATCACATAGTAAGCACTGGAATGCTTCTTTAATTAAATTATTAATCCATTTTGAAAAGAAACCCATTGAAAGACAGAAATTTAGCTGGATAATTTGATACAAAGAAATATTTCTTTAGAAAGCTCAAGTACTCTTTGTGATTAATTATAAATAATATATACATATATATTTATACCATAGATTTGACTATGTGAAAGAATGAGCAAGAAATTACACATTATTGTTTATATTGCGAACATGATTTCCTAATGGGATAGCAAAATATTTTAAATAGAAATTTTCCTGCATTGTAATTTTTGATAGCTTACATTTAAGAGGAGATTTTTAAAATTAAAATATAAATATTTGAGATATAAATATATAATTATAAAATGTAAAATTCTACTCAGTAACATTGGAGCTTCACTATAATAATGAACTTGGTATAATCCGATTTACCTTGGATATTTCCAAGGAGACTTTGTACACAAAGTACCAGAATCTCAAAATAATATTCTTACCTGAATAGACTACAAATGACTAACCAAAATCAGTATAAAACTCCGTGTGTGTGTGTGTGTGTGTGTAGTGAAAAAGAAGAAGAAAAGCAGAATTTTGGCTATTAACTCAATGGTAGTGAGAGAAGGGTGTGGGAAAAGTATTTCCTGAGTGATCCTAACAATAGATTCTAAAAGTTCATAGTATTTAGAAAATATTTTTTAGGCCAGTGATCTTTTCGACCACAGCTGTGTGTCAGATGGATGTAGTTGATTAGAACAGAGCCTAATAAAACTATCATTATGAGTTCCTCCTTTTTATCTAGTGTGGAGAAATTGAAGACATGGCTTTACATTGCTTGCCCTATATAGAGCGACGGTATAGGTTTGGTGTTAAGATGTCCAGGTCCTGTCATTCCAGTTCGTGTTTTTTCCTCACATTTTACCATTGTCTGTACTCTAAAACAGATTGTTGCAGAAGAACACTGATATAGAAGGCACAAAAATTGAGTTATAATGGAGCATAGCCTTTTTGACCTTATAGTCCTCAACTCTAAGACAAGAAGATTACATTTCTCAAGGTTTTCTCAGCTTAAAATGTATAATTTTGGCCCTGGCATCAGATGGTATGGCTCAGGCCTCAATCAGGAAGTTCATGAAAGAAAAAGTCCCTTCTCAGGAAGAGATGTCTTTATTATGTGGTTTGAAAAGGTCAGGAAACTACTTTAGAAAAGTTTTTCTTAGTAGCCTATAACTAAATTCATAAAATTCAGAACCCTGTGTTTTTGAGCCAAGCAGTGCTTTATTGGGTTAGTTTGATTCAACAAATGTTTTGTAAGGATATGCAAAATAAAGAACTGGGCCATGTGGAAAATTAAAGGATAAATTCATCCATTGAACAGATATTTGCTAAATATTCATGTCAGCTTCTGTTCTGGATACTAGGTATGGCAGTGGATAATACACACAAGTTCTCTGTTCCTATCGAGCTTATACTGTAGTAAATGACACTTGGGGTCTGCTCTCAAAGAATGGAGTATATGAGAAGGGGTTGCATTGGGATTGGGGCCTAAAACCAGTATATAATGAACTGTAATATCAAGGAGTGGTAGGGTAAGTGGCATAAAGAGAACAAAAAAATATTTTAAAAAATAGGTAAGGATTCATAGAAGATAAAAGATCCAATTGGAGTATTAAGACAAATTGGTAGGGATAGGAGAGTAAACTGAAGTTGAACTATCTGCCCAGGATCAGATGAGAGCACAGAAAGTACTGGGGGTTGGGGTGGGACAAGGGGTTAATTCCTAAATTTGTAATTGTGAATTATTGGAATTAAGGAGACAAGTTAGAAAGTATCTCAGAAGCAATGTTGGCCAGAAGTGTTTTGGAGTGAGAACAGTGAGCTAAGTTATATAATGAAGACTTGACAAGAATTAAGCCCTACGGTTCAATCTGGCACCTCCTTGGAAATGAGCTGCCAGGAAACCTCAGGTCATGGAGCCCTTCTTGGCTTGGAGTGAGAACAGTGAGCTAAGTTATACAATGAAGACTTGACAAGAATTAAGCCCTACGGTTCCATCTGGCACCTCCTTGGAAATGAGCTGCCAGGAAACCTCAGGTCATGGAGCCCTTCTTGGCTGTTGGGGAATGAGAAAGGAATGCCAGTCAAGGGGCCTTTTGATAGATATTGCCAGCAGTGCAGCCGACATTTATCCTTTCGTGTCTCTCCCATTCTTGCACTCAGTGTTATTTATAGAATCCATTTTTAATAAAATTAAATAGCTGACATCTAAATTCATGAAAGGCCTCATGAACTTACCTATAAGTCAGGAAACCCAAAAAAGGTGGTTGCATTTTGTAATTACTCCAATGATTTTGTAAGAGAAAATGATACAGTCACAAAAGAACTATTCATGCATCAATTTGTAGCTATTGTCTAAATTTAAAATTTTCCCTGCAATCTGACAGCTTCTAATAAATGCTTGTCAGGAGGGCAGATTTCATTTGTAAGTGTTCTATGAGCTAAGCTGGAATGATTTTCTCTGTGTCTTAAAACCTAGAAGAGGATACCTTGAAAAATACATTTAAACAAGTATTTTATGGTTGCTTCATTAACTGACCATCCACCATCTCTTTTCCTAACTCCCATCTTTTTTTCTTATCCGCCCAAACTAAAACACTCTCCAGTCTATCTTTGACTCATTTTCTTTCTTTCATACATCCACATGTCCTCTCATCTTCCCACTCTTTTCCCTTCTTTCTGATTTTCCTTTCCTCTATTGTTCATATACTGATTTTTCTTCCTTCTTTTGGAGGCTTTTCATCCTAAACTCTCATCTCACAATCT